TTCTGTACAGGCTTCCTTCTTTTCAATCTGTCATTTAGGTTAGTATTGTGGAGTAACTACAATGTTGATCCATCATCAGTTTTCTACTATCCCAGCCATTCAACTTTGTAACTGCTTTAAATTCACCATTGGCCTCATTGTGCAATCCCTGAGCGGTTTCCTTCCCCTCCCGCAACTGAGTTAGGAAGGACGCCTGTATCTTTATAGTGACTGGGTGTATTGATACACCATCCAAAGTGTAATTAATAACTTCACCATGCTCAAAGGGATATTCAATTGTATTTTATTTATTTTTACCCATCTACCAGTAGGTGCGAGGCATTGGAAAACCTCCTTGGTGTTTGTGGTTGAATCTGTGTTTGAAATTCATTGCTCGAAGGAGGGACCTTACAGGTAATTGTATGTGTTTGGTACAGAGATGAGGTAGTCATTCAAAAATCATGTGAAACACTATTATTGCACACAGAGAGTCCAACTTATTATGTGACTTGTTGTTAAGCAAATTTTTACTGATGAATTTATTTAGGGGTTGAATACTTATTTGTAAAAATGTGTAAAAGCATACTTTCACATTGTGTCATTTTGTGTAGGCCAGTGACACAAAATCTCAGGCTGTAACTCAACAAAATGTGGAAAAAGTCAAGGGGTGAGAATATTTTCTGAAGACACTGTCGTTATTGTTTATAGCTGAAAATGTTTTACAGCATTTGAGGTTAAATGGTCAGCTAACAATCACAAAATTACTATGTAATGGCTCTATTGTCAGGTTTAACCATTCCTCGTGAAAGTGTATCTTTCCAGTGTTTGAGGTTATGTACCAGTAGGCTGTGACAGAAGGGCTTGGAGCTCCACTGACATCAGGTTGTCTTCAGCCAGCGACTGCTACCTATACAAACCCATCAAAGTGACCAATTTAAGGCATCAAAAGGGCATACTGCATAGCTAATGTAGGCCGAAGGTGTGAGATTTCTCGTCGGCCCACTGCAGGGGCTCTTTATTGGGCTGGAGGAGAACCATCTGATCCTTGGGCCCGGCTGTGTATTGGCAGCTGTTAACAATTGAGCACGAAGATCTAGAGACTGACACCTGGGAGGTAGAGCATCAGTGGTAAAGGTGATCAGTGAGCAGACACGGGGGCCTGGCCAGCGGCCCCGCCATAGACTCCACTGTGGGCCAATGCTTTGCAGGGAGGATGGGCCCTAGTATGCTCGAGAGTGGGAGAACAGTCATGACACATTAGCTACACTATTGACACAAACAGAGCAACTAAGTTCATTTTTATATACTGTAAATCTAATGTTTGGCATTCGTTAATCTCTATGCCATGTCAGCTTTGGCAATGGTATCACTTTCAACAACTTTATTACATCCAGTTCAGAGGTCATTTTGTTGATGGTCTTTATTCCTCTTTTCATACATTTTTACATTACATTTTAGTCATTTAGCAGACGCTCTTATCCAGAGTGACTTACAGTTAGTGAGTGCATAAATTTTTTTTATTTCACACTGGCCCCCCGTGGGAATTCGAACCCACAACCCTGGCGTTGCAAGCGCCATGCTCTACCAACTGAGCTACACGGGGCATTGGTATGTTGAGAAAAGGGGAATATACTGAATGTTTGACATATTTTGTCATATCTACAACCCAGTGCTTCAGTGTTGACTGAAATTGTTCATAGAGATTGAATGATAACTCTTTGGGTCACTTCATGGTGTGATTATAGTTAGCTTCACCAGTTCTTAACTCAAGTCCGCAATCCCCCTTATGTGTTGCCCAAGTCTAAATAAAGCAGACGGCAGCAGCTGTAAAATATAATAGTAGACCTGCCATCCTGACTCTGGCCTGTGTCCTCTGCCACATACAGTGCCCTGGCTATCACACCTGTCACCTCCATCTTCACTGCGTAATGTGATTGCCACTGCTGCTTCTGAAATGTACACCTTAGCTCTGACACTGACACGCTAACATTAGACTTCAACTTTGATGGGGTACACAAAAAATCTGAACTCCTCATGAGGGGCCCCCTCATTTATTTTGTGGGGAATTCATCCGAGGGCCTTTTACCCAAGGGCCGCCAGTTGCCCATCCCTGCTCTATGCCTTTCCACCGTTATGACTTAAACGATTCAACATCAAAATAGGTCCCTTCTCCATTTCCTGAAATAGTCACACGTGTAATCACACAAAGAGCTGTACCCTCCTTGTTTTGACATGGCTCTGAGGGGACTGACTGGTAGTAAGCCCTGCTGGAAAGCTCCCGAGGGGGAGATGGCACAAGTAGCCCTGGGAATATGCATTTTCCCTCAGAAGTGCAAACTGAGGACAGTAATAATAATAATAATATGCCATTTAGCAGACGCTTTTATCCAAAGCGACTTACAGTCATGTGTGCATACATTTTTACGTAACACTGAATCTGTGATTAATAACTCCTCAGCAACAATTGGTTTCACATAAGGAGAATTAAACCACTTCACACTTCCTAAAGCTCATAGTGCTGCTAGCAGGCTGGCCCTCTCTGCAAGGAGATTGGTGGAACAGTTATGCATACTGCATATGTATTTTTTTTCTTCTCCAGAATAGCCTTTTCGAATTAATGTGAGAGCATGGGTGTGAAAATCCAATACAGGTCTCTGAGTGGGTCTGTTGGAGTAATGAGACAAATATACACCGACTCAACATGGTCTCTTTATACTAGCCAGTCAATATTCTCACAGGCCAAGCTTTCTAGTTGTAAACCTCTCCTGAGGCCTGTTTAACTGCTGTTCCATTAGAGGGATGTTTCCTGGTTTGATACAGCCATTTCCAAAGGAAATGTCAGATATTCACAGGTGCAAATTACAAAGACAACAGACATCACAATAATACTATGGAAACTTGGACCATACAGTACTACCACTGGAGGTACTGTATGCAAAATGCACACATAAGCATACAATGAGAGAGACTGACTAATTGTATAGGGATTGTTTGAAAACTGCCTGGTTTTGTCGGACAAAGCTGAGTGATTTATTTCTAAATTCAGACTCTACCTAAATTCAGACTCTACCTGAATAAAGTTTTTAGATCTATTGAGGGTATTTGAAGTACTTCAAGTGCCAGAGGAAGTGGAGATGACCGAGGAGGAACCACTGCTGAAGTGCTGCAAATGGTTTTCCATTTAGAGTTTAGCATTTGTTTAGCCTATGGATTGGAGGGGAGGTTGTGCCCGGTCTTTATTCTCTCTCTCCCTCTGTCTCTTTCAGTCTGTGGTGTCTTGCCTGTGGTGCTAACTGTTAATTGCTGGCCCATACAGTGCCTCTCTGCATGGAGAAACTGGGGCCTGCAGGGGAAACTGCCCTAATGAGATTATCTATCGGAGCATTGTCCTCTCTAGACACCCCAATACACAACCCCCAGGGCACTGCCTGCAGCCCCAACACCTAACCCCCAGATAAGACTCACCTGGAGAAAGATACAGGTATTATTGTAAGTTATCACACCATTATGGGTTTATTGGTCCCTCACACATTCCTCACTTTCTCGGATTGGAGAATGGGACATGCCAGAGACCATGTTTGGTCAAGATTAAGTCATTGATTCAACCAATATATCATATATGACCTGTGTATTTTAGTTGTGTTATAACTGTGTTGTAAGAATTAATCAATTAGTCATTTCTTTCATTTTATTGTTGAGGAAGCACACAAGTTCAAAGTGATGTGTGTTATTCATTCAGCAAACCTCATTTTGATCATCATTTAAAAAATGTAATTTAAGGTACAATCGGCAATAGTTACTGCTGTTCAATGGTCATTTCAATCAATAATATATACCCATTCATTCTTGAATAATATAACTTCCTCAAGCTGTTTTACCCCATCAAAACCCAAAATATAAGATTACACCATTGTTTGTAAACAATGTTCTTTGTAAATAAACAATCAATATAGCTGCAAAATATGTTCCAAACTATCATGTTGATCTCATGGACTGTCACTCCTTGCATTAATAGCTCCATCTATGAATTTGAGAATGGTTACATTTTTCCAGCCTCGTCCCTCAGCAGTGTAGCAAGCAAATTGTTGTTTGGCAAAAAAAGAACAATGAAGGATTGTGACTCATATGTTCTATGTTGTGAGGGTTGATCAAGTTTGAAATGGATCAATTCCCTGAGCTCTTATTAGCTATGTCAAATGAACTATTATGGCTATTTTACCACATTGCATGAGGACACTAAATAGGCTTTCTATGTGTGGTTACGTCTGTGTGAATGATATTTACACAGATTTTGGTGCCGCTGTAGGCCCCGTTCTCCAGTGGGGAAGCCCATCCATATTTGTTTAAAAGTCTCTTGGCAGTTAATAAAGATGTGTTTCCTCCGTCCCCCTTCCTGTGGGGACGGTATCAAGGCTCTGTTAAGACCCTTTGATTTCCACAACCCTCCAGTCACAGCGGGACATTGACTCATCACTGTGCCACTTCAAAGCCTGGGAATGGCTCTTCAGGCCACTCCCAGTCTTGGGCTCCCCTTAAAAGTCAGAGACCCCATCCTTCAGTTGAACAATTCTAGAGCCCCAAGTGATTGCTGTTCGAACACCATTGGACCTACTACCACTCAATGTATGCTTCCGGCACCAGTGGAATATACTGAAATCTCAAGACAGATGTGCAGCACCAAGGAGGGACTGTGAACTGTGGTTATTACTTTGGAAAGCACTAAAACAGTTTGCTGATACATTATATTTTTGGCGCACCTCCTTGTTCCACGAACTCGTCTGAAGAATGCAGTCCATCAGAGGTGAGTGTTGAACCTCAAGCTCTTTTTTGTCATCAAACCTACCTTGGATTCCAAATGGACATCACACATTCAAGTCATAAGCTCTCATTGTCTATATCAATAGTCTGTGTATATGAAATATTCCTCTATCACAGCCTATTCAGTTCTCATCTTGGTCAGCTTGTCCTCCATCAGTTTTGGCTTATGACTACGTCTTAATGATTGTTTCTACATCCTAGACATGAAGTCCAACTTTAGTGCTCCGTCATCCTCTATTCCCGGTGGTCCTGATACTTATCACCAAGGCAACATCAGGATGACTCTGGAGGACCCAGAACTCTGGAAGTCCTTCCATGAAATAGGAACAGAGATGATTATCACTAAACCAGGCAGGTAAGATGACCACAACTTCAAATTCTATCTGCTATTATCAATTACAATGTACTTGATTGAAAATGCTTCAATAAATGGCATTTTCTGTGGACTGTCATGATAATGATTATTCTTGTATTTTACAGGAGAATGTTTCCACACTGTAAAATCAACCTTTCTGGACTAATTCCATGTTACAAGTACATCTTGTTGGTTGACATGGTACCTGTGGATGGTTTCAGGTATAAGGTAAGAACCTTTTGCATGTTTACACTTGAATACATATCCATTGCCTTTCATATTAGCAAAATCATTGAAACCAGGGAGAATTTTACATTTAGAAATGACACATCCCTGGCTTGTATCAAACAATCGTGACATTAGCAAACATTAGCAATAGATGTTCCCCAATGGTCAGCATCTCCAGATGAGACACAGCTCCACTCCACTCTTTGCTAATCACCCCTCTGACATTGGTCATCAAAGGGCATTATCTCTTCCTGTTGTTATATCCCCTGCTGTTTGCCTCTGTGGGTGGTGCAAGCCAAAATATCACTCTCTCTTTTAGCCTCAAGGTTAGACAGGGATCCTCTGAAAATCACCCCTGCCCCCCTTTGTATGACAGATTAACTTTATGTTAAGGTATTTACTTCCCTGTCTCTTTCCAGTGGAATAAAGAGAAATGGGAAGTGGCTGGGAAGGCGGAGCCGCAGCCCCCTTGTCGGACGTACCTGCATCCAGACTCTCCGGCCCCTGGGAGCCACTGGATGAAACAGTCGGTGTCCTTCCTCAAGCTCAAGCTCACCAACAACACTCTGGACCAACATGGCCATGTAAGAAAGCATTGTCAATTGGTTCTGTCCATTTGTAGCTTGTTTTTGGACAGGTCCAGGAATGGCTAAAGGATTGCAATATTTACCTGGAGCTAACCTTGCAGATAGCATTACTGGGTGATCTGAAAAGTCATAGTCAATCGATCAATAATATAATAATACTTTTAGCAAAAATGTTTATTTTTTATTCACAATCTGTAGAAGCAATGAGAATAGAAAGGTTCAGAACTTTTGTAAAACATCACAGTACAGTTGAAATATATATGGCAAATAGAAATCCTATATGGATGGTGTTAAGAGATAGATGGGAGGTGTTGAATGGAGTTGAAGGATGGGACTAATAACAAATAACAACAAATAATAACAAGATGACTAATAATGTAAGCATACTGTGTCCATAATAAGTATATAGGTTGTATGTTGGGAGCTTTTGGGAAAGAGCACAGTTAGAAAGATATGGCATATAGAAGCAAACCGGATGGACATCATGAAAATGATCGGAGAGGTTGAGAGTAGAAGAAGTTCAGGAGCAAAAACAAATAAAATACTCTGTGTCCATAAAATGTAGATAGTAAGTATAAGCTGGAAGTAGAGGCCTAAGCATTGTTGTTCACTAATTTACCCCAAGTAGGGAAAGGATGGCGGGGTTGAAAAGTCATAAAGGGGAGTATATATATAAAAAACATGGGGATTGGAAGTGATGCAGACAATTACATTGATGGAAGTTACAATCTATCTGCAATATTAAGCTGATCTACCCCCCCCCCCCCCCCCCCCCAAAAAAAAAAGAAAAAAGAAAAATAAAGCATTGTCAATCTCTGTAATAATATATATATACTTATTCTATAGAGCATTGGCAAATTATTTTACTTTGATGACAGTAACTGTTGTCATTGTTCCAGTGACTAAACTAACTGTGCATATCTCTCTTTCAGATCATTTTACACTCCATGCACCGCTACCACCCGCGCTTCCACATTGTCCAGGCAGACGACATGTACAGTGTACGCTGGAGTGTCTTCCAGACCTTTACCTTCTCTGAGACCTCCTTCACCTCTGTCACCGCTTACCAGAACACTAAGGTCAGTCTCACTGCAGTCACTGGCACAGCAGGGCGCTACCCTTTATTTCCCCAAGCAAGCATCTGGTAACAAGTCCCTAGGTGTTTAAACCAACTCTTTCTCCTCTAGATAACCAAGCTGAAGATTGACCACAACCCATTTGCGAAAGGCTTCCGAGACGAAGGAACTAATACAAAAAAGTAGCTAGAATTGTTTTTATCATTACTTTTCTATTTTATGCTTGCCTTGAATATGTGTGTTAATGATCCTGTTGTCTTTTCCGCTGCAGGCGTGCTAACAGAAACCCAGCCTCCCCAGAGAAAAAACCTAAGGAAATTGATTATCTAAGCAAAGACTCAGATGAGGACAGCCCTTCAAGTATTGGCTTTCACCACTTTCACCAGTTAGTTTAGTGACCAAACTACTCATCCCTTCATGTAGAGGTTGTTGTTCTCTGAGCTCAGTGGGTCTGATGTCATGTATGTTTTGCAGGCTTACGCAGGTCATCATATGAGGGATATGAAGGAGAGCGGGCAGAACTCCCTAAAAGAAAAGAGGAGGAAGTGGTGAAAGAGGAGCACTACTCCCCCTGGGGGCCTGAGAGGGAGCATGGACACCACGTCCAGACAGACTCACCCCCTGGACCCGATGTCAGGGACATGTACAATGCAGAGCAGCTAGTACCAGCCCCAGCTTCATACCAGCCTTACAGGTAGGCACCAGATCATGCTGTCTATCTCAGTAATGTTCATCCTGGAAGGTAGGAAGGAAAACTCACTCACTGCCACATTGTCATCAAAGCAGACAACACTGACCACCACCCATCTCTCTCTTTTCAGGTTCCATAAATACGGGAAGTCTCCATCTCCCTCCTCCAGCGTGGGCAGCAGCAATGGGGGTTCTGGACAGGCCAGCTTTGAGTCCAGAGTCCCTGATGTAGCCACAGTCCCAGAGCATGAGACCTCCAAGCCCTCTGTTCATGAGATTGGACCATCTCCCTGTGGCCCGCAGCCCCTTGCAGGACATCATCAGGACTACACAGGGGTGCTCAACATGGCCCAAGCAGGCAAGCCAGGGGTCCTCAGCCACAACATCTACAGCCCTTATAGCACAGAGCAGACCCTGGGCCAGTGGACCAGCCCCAGCCCTGCCCAGTACCCTCCCCCTCACCACCTGCCCACTGACTACAGTACCCCGGCTGTGCACCACGGATATCACCATGGCAACGTGGCTGAGTGGAGCCAGTACCCACTCTTCTCCTACTCCTGCTGGTGAACCATTTCCTCAACATTTCTCCCAAAAGAGAAGGACTGCAGTCTCACAGGTGACTCAGTGAGACCTAATAAATGCTGCTATGCCGTCATACCTGTGTTTCCCCTTGAGGTCTGTCCCAGGTCCAGCATCACACCCTGATGGCTGCTGATACAGAGCTCATGGCTATGCTACTGCATGATGAGGCTGAGGGAGAAGGACCTGGGTCAGGAGAAACATCAGCAAGCAGAAATGATAATTGAGTGGAACAGAGACAATATGCATCAGAATGACTACCAGAGTAGTGGTTTTGACTCATCTGATATCACAGCTGGCTTTAGGCCTCAGACCTGAAAAATGAATATGTTCCTACCAATTATATGTTTATTGTTGAATTGTCTATTTATTTTGTTTGGATTTCATTTCTTCAAATATTTTGGTAATAAATAAAACATTTTGTGTGTAATAAATTGCTTTAATGAGATTGTAATGTGATCTGTATGGAATTAAAGATTCAACAAGTTACAAGTGTTTTTCCACTGTTTTCTTCAAAGCTAAAGTATTACTTTACTTGGTGCCGGGATTCAATCTAAGGCGCATTATAAACTGGATGATTCGACAGCCGTGGTACACTACATGACCAAAAGTATGTGGACTGCTGCTTGTCGAATATATCATTCCAAAATCATGGGCATTAATATGGAGTTGGTCCCTCCTTTGATGCTATAACAGCCTCTACTCTTCTGGGAAGGTTTTCCACTAGATGTTGGAACATTGCTTCGGGGACTTGCTTCCATTCAGCCACAAGAGCATTAGTGAGGTCGGGCATTGATGTTGGGCGATTAGGCCTAACTCGCAGTAGGCATTCCAATTCATCCCAAAGGTGTTTGATGGGGTTGAGGTCAGGGCTCTGCAGGACAGTCAAATTGTTCCACACCAATCTCGACAAACCATTTCTGTATGGACCTAGCTTTGGGCACGGGGGCATTGTCTTACTGAAACAGGAAAGGGCCTTCCCAAAATGGTTGCCACAAAGTTGGAAGCATAGAATCGTCTAGAATGTCATTGTATGCTGTAGCGTTAAGATTTCCCTTCACTGGAACTAAGGGGCCTAGGCCGAACCATTATTCCTCCTCCACCAAACTTTACAGTTGGCACTATGCATTGGGGCAGGTAGCATTCTCCTGGCATCCACCAAACCCAGATTCGTCCGTCGGACTGCCAGATGGTGAAGCGTAATTCATCACTCCAGAGAACACGTTTCCTCTGCTCCAGAGTCCAATGGCGGCGAGCTTTACACCAATTCAGCTGACGCCTGCCATTGCGCATGGTGATCTTAGGCTTGTGTGCGGTTGCTCAGCCATGTAAACCCATTTCATGAAGTTCCCGATGAACAGTTATTGTGCTGACGTCGCTTTCAGAGAATGTTTGGAACTCGGTAGTGAGTGTTGCAACCGAGGACAGACGATTTTTACGCGCTACATGCTTAAGCACTCGGCGGTCCTGTTCTGTGGCCTACCACTTCGCGGCTGAGCCATTATTGCTCCTAGACATTTCCACTTTACAATAACAGCACTTACAGTTGACCGGGGAAGCTCTAGCAGGGCAGAAATGTATTGGAAAGGTGGCATCCTATGACGGTGCCACGTTGAAAGTCACTGAGCTCTTCAGTAAGGGCCACCTGTCTATGGAGATTGCATGGCTGTGTGCTCGATTGTACACACCTGTCAGCAGTGGGTGTGACTGAAATAGCCGAATCCACTAATTTGAAGGGGTGTCCACATACTTTTGTATATGTAGTGTATATCAGACCCTATACCACGGATATGACAACATGTGTTTTTACTGCTCTAATTATATTGGTAACCAGTTTATAATAGCAATAAGGCATCTCGGGGGTTTGTGGTATATGGCCAATATACCATGGCTAAGGGCTGTTCTTAGGCGCGAGGCAACGCGGCGTGCCTGGAGAAAGGCCTTAGCCGTGGTATATTGGCCATATACCACACCCCCTCGGGCCATATTGCTTAATTATAGCGCAGGACACTATACAGCAGACACTGTGCCTTTTAAAGGTATTTCCTCCAATGTTCTTGAACATAGCATTCATGGTAAATGCTGCGCATGTCGGCTCAAGTGTAAATTACCTTTAAAAGTAGTGCGCTGCGCTATAACACACCTTTTTTTTTGTCATTTAGCAGACGCTCTTATCCAGAGCGACTTACAGTTAGTGAGTGCATACATTATTATTTTTTATTTTTTCATACTGGTCCCCCGTGGGAATCGAACCCACAACCCTGGTGTTGCAAACGCCATGCTCTACCAACTGAGCTACATCCCTGCCGGCCATTCCCTCCCCTACACTAGACTACGCTGTGCCAATTGTGCGCCGCCCCATGGGTCTCCCGGTCGCGGCCGGCTACGACAGAGCCTGGATTCAAACCAGGATCTCTAGTGGCACAGCTAGCACTGCGATGCAGTGCCTTAGACCACTGCGCAGCAGCAATGGGGGTTGAATTGAATTGAATCCGGGCTTTGATCAATTTTACTTATTGGGATATCAGGGTAGAAGACTAATAGTTAACACTTTACCGCCGGCTGTTTCCTGAGTTCAGTCCTCTCGGATTTGATTATTGATGGTGTAAAATTGAGGTCAAAATCTATGACTTCCTAATGCAAGGCCAGTTTGATAGGATGTAGAATTATGGATGGATCAGTAATTTTATTAACACCCCATAACCTTTTCACATCCATGTACTCATTACAATACATCTGTCTCTGCACTTTTGAAGATCCCAGAGCAACACTGCCTACAGAAGTGTTTGTATTTTTTTGTAGGTAGGTAGGTATCGTGGGTTGTAGGTAGGTATCGTGGGTTGTTGTAGGTAGTTATTGTATGTAATTATTGTAGGTTAAGTATTGTATTCGGCGGTGCCGGGTGTAGCACGAAGCTAGCTAGCTAGCTAACTCACCACCTGGACTAGCTGGCGAGTAGCTATTAGCAACGGTATAGTTGTTTCACGCCTGAGAGTGCCTATAATTACGCCAGCTGGCTGCCTACAATAATTACATACAATAATTGCCTACCATTCAGCTGTTTCCTAACCTCATTGTCTGAACCGTTAACGTTAGGTAGCAAGTGGCTACTGCGCTTGAAAATTAGCAAGCTTGTTGCAACCTGGATAGCTACTTGTAAACAATAGCTGGAACGACCGAGCGAACAGACGCGAACTGGCTGAGTCAATTCAGTGGCTAGCTTTGCACTTGGCTAGCTAACACTAGCTGCTAGGGGTAAGTCATAACCTACACTTGTGTTTTGTTTTTTTACATATTGATAGCCCGAGTCGCTCAAGGAATTCGGGACATGGGTGACTAGTTAACGTTAGTTTGGCTCTCTCTGTGTATTCGTGCCATGAAAGGAGAGGTTCTTCTTTGTCTGAAAGCAATGGCTAGCTAGTTTGCTAACTATTCTAGCTAGCTAACTAACTAGCTATCAGCAACGGTATAGTTGTTTCACACCTGAGAGTGCCTGTAATTACGCCAGCTGGCTGCCTACAATAATCACATACAATAATTGCCTACCATTCAGCTGTTTTCTAACCTCATTGTCTGAACCGTTAACGTTAGGTAGCAAGTGGCTACTGTGCTTGAAAATTAGCAAGCTTGTTGCAACCTGGATAGCTACTTGTAAACAATAGCTGGAACGACCGAGTGAACAGACGCGAACTGGCTGAGTCAATTCAGTGGCTAGCTTTGCACTTGGCTAGCTAATAGTAGCTGCTAGGGGTAAGTCATAACCTACACTTGTGTTTTGTTTTTTTCATATTGAGAGCCCGAGTCGCTCAAGGAATTCGGGACATGGGTGACTCGCTAACGTTAGTTTGGCTCTCTCTGTGTGTTCGTGCCGTGTGTTATGACGAGGTGCCCGGACATTTTTCACGGAATAATACTGCACCTAGTTAGCTAGCTGAATAAACTAGGTTAGTCTATTCCTAGAAAACATTGAACCGCTGTAGTTTACAACAATTATAGTTTCTGAGGTGGAAGTTGGGAGAGTTATATTTGGGAGTTGTGGCTCTCTCCTTTCCCAGATGTTTAGTTCATTTTATTCCGATCTCCTCTGCATTATTGTAGCCATCTGCTGCAGCCTGTCAACTATGCCTCTGCCTATCCCTGTTCTCTCCTCTCCGCACAGGCTACACAAACGCCTCACACCGCGTGGCTGCTGCCTCTCTAACCTGGTGGTCCCTGCACGCACCACACACCTGGAGTTCCAGGTCTCAGGCAGCCTCTGGAACTGCCGTTCTGCTGCCAACAAGGCTGACTTCATCCCAGCCTATGCTACCCTCCAGTCCCTCGACTTCCTGGCGCTGACGGAAACATGGATTACCACTGAAAACACTGCTACTCCTACTGCTCTCTCCTCGTCTGACCATGTGTTCTCGCATACCCCGAGAGCATCTGGTCAGAGGGGTGGTGGCACAGGAATCCTCATCTCTCCCAAGTGGACATTCTCAATTTTTCCCCTAACCCATCTGTCTATCTCCTCATTTGAATTCCATGCTGTCACAGTCACTAGCCCATTTAAGCTTAATATCCTTGTCATCTATCGCCCTCCAGGTTCCCTTGGAGAGTTCATCAATGAGCTTGACGCCTTGATAAGTTCCTTTCCTGAGGATGGCTCACCCCTCACAGTTTTGGGGGATTTCAACCTCCCTACGTCTACATTTGACTCATTTCTCTCTGCCTCCTTCTTTCCACTCCTCTCCTCTTTTGACCTCACCCTCTCACCGTCCCCCTCCTACTCACAAGGCAGGCAATACGCTTGACCTCATCTTTACTAGATGCTGCTCTTCTACTAATCTCACTGCAACTCCCCTCCATGTCTCCGACCACTACTTTGTATCCTTTTCTCTCTCGCTCTCCTCCAACACTACTCACTCTGCCCCTACACAGATGGTAATGCGCCGCCGCAACCTTCGCTCTCTCTCTCCCACTACTCTCTCCTCTTCCATCCTATCATC